GCTTGAAAAAAGAGATGAAGAAGAAATACAAACTGAACCCTGAAGATGTGAAAAACATTCTCTGTACGGACATTACTAAATGGAAATGTTGTTAATATGTAAAAGCAATAAAGAAAGTTAAAAAAAGAAAGAAAAGGCAAGTTCACACCATCTGTGCATAAATAGGTCTGTGTCCTCACAGCAATGTCACTAATGTCACTATTTTGTAACATCTCCTCAGTATAAAGGCGGACAAGAAGAGTCCTTTTTTTTAATCGTTAAAAAAAAGTTTTTCATCTGCCTAGAACTCCATTTGAAATTGAACCTGCTGTTTATTTTGTCATGCTTTTGCTTGTACACAGTTTATTGTGTTCATATTTTAGCTTTATCTCTGTTTTGTGGAATGGTCCTACATATTTTTTCTATGCAGTGTAAATTAATTGACAACAACATACGTGTCAATAAAACTGGTCCTGATTCGCTTTGTGTCGTCATCCCTGCAGTGGCCGTACAAAGGGCGCCCAAAAGAAAATTCCTTCCTCTATGAAATTGTGTCCAACAAAAAAAACGGCGTTGATGTGGACAAGTTTGACTACTTGGCCAGGTCAGGTTTTAATGAAGTGCTGTAGAGCAATTCATTTTGTGATGAAGACCACTACAGCACTTCTTTTTTTTTTTACCTTGAACAATGCATTATTCTCCTGATTATTTTAAATTATAGGCTACAAAACTCTCCAGTAAATTCAGTTTCACTTTATACACCTATTTTCTTCACCTTGCCTCAATCTGCCTCTACTCAGGGACTCTTCCTACCTGGGGATCAAGAACAACTTTGACTTTCATCGCTTCCTGCAGTTTGCCAGAGTGTGTGAGGTTGATGGCAGGAAAACTATCTGCACCAGAGACAAGGTGCTGACACACTTGAGCTTGTAAACAGATAATTGAAAGCAAACTGATAATGTTGTTATTTATGACTAAACTGCAGTCCTAACTTCAACAGGAGGAAGACCATATGTACGACTTGTTCTATACAAGACACCGTCTCCACAAAAGAGCCTGTCAGCACAGAGTAAGCCACATCATACAAGAAATGTAAGTGTCTACCTTCAGAAGTTATTACTCCAAATATAAGATTGGTCTCCTTCTGATTTCCATTATTCAATCTGCATCATGATTCACTATCTCATCAGTAATAATATATTTGATGAACATACAGGATTGCAGAGGCTTTTTTGAAAGCAGACGGTCACATTCAGATTGAAGGATCAGGAGGGAGGATGTTCACTCTCTCTACAGCCAATGAGGACATGGAGGCCTACACAAAGCTCACAGGTGTGTAGATTTAATGTGTGCTGTTAGCTCATGTTTAACATTGAAGCCAATTCAGATACAGGAGTATCAAGACATGGCTCTGTTGCTAGGTATTTACAGTTATGCTACTTTATCCATTTTTTTTATCGTGCATTTGTTAAAGATAAATAAACCACATCCTGTTAATTTAGTTGTGATGACTTATAAATTAACATGCCATGTCTTACAATTTATTGAGTGTGTTTAAATTAAATTCACTAATTTTTGTGTGTGTTATTATCATTTGTTTGCTTGTTACTCTGTTACTCTTTAGACAACGTGTTTGAGGAAATACTGAAGTCTTCCTGCTCAGAGCTAAAAAAGGCAAGAGAGATTCTGCAAAACATCATCTCTCGAAAGAGCTACAAGTTTGTTGATGAGAGAAAGCCAAAGGACCCATCGAGGATTGGAAAGTAAGTCTGTGTTCTTGTGTTTCATTACATTTATAACACATGATCTAATGCACTGTTATCACAAAGCTGGATAATGTGCTCATTTTCAGTTCATAGAATAAGTACACATCACATTATTTACTGTCTCCAGCATTTTATCTTGCCCGTGTTGTTATTACATTTAACATGAACAGCAAACTATTGAACAGTTCTCTTTTGAAATGCAATGTGAATGGATAGCAGCTTGAAATGTCTTACAATACAAAATCCTCTGTCAACTAATGCTGCATGATATTGGGGAAACTGCAATAACCTTTGAGGTTCATACAATTATAATTTGTATTATCATTTGGGCCTTCAATTCTATTTTCTTTTTCAAATAAAAACCCCTTATATGTTCAAAGTGACTTTTAATTTGCATCAAGAGCCCTGTGACAGTAAAGAACAGTTCATCGTCACACACTGCATGTGATCCTTCAACTCTACATCTTATGTGCACATAGACTCTGCCTGCACAGAAGTCACTTCTCTTTGTGATCAGGAAGAGGATCAGACAGACTGATATTGTAGATCAGTCATGGAAAGAGAGAAACTGAAGGCTTTTTGTTTTTTCAAAAGCAGAAACAACAAAAAATGGCATGAAATGATACATTTCAGGACATATGATTGATATTATATATTCTGTAATGTTATCATAGCACTTGTACACATACGCAAAAATGATGCTTAAATCATACCATGCAGCCCTACAGTCAAAAATATCTACACTAAGTCGGTGCAGTTTTTTGAGTGAATGTGAATTGAATTCCAAGTTTCTTACATTGTCAACTTTAAATGCAAAAAAACTTGAATCTATATCTTTTTCCACTGTTGTAATTTTTTTCTGATTCCTTGTCAAGAGCCGGATTACTGGCTGGAAAAAATTATTGGCTCAACCCCTCCCTGACGAGGAAGAAAACAACCTGAAACCAGAGGACTTTGAAATCCTGGTCAGTTTTTTGACTTTCTTTCATTTCACCTTTTTGTAAATTCTTCAGTTTTGAGGATTTTTTGATTTGTAAGATGTTGCAAAATCTGTTATTACACACATACTTTTACTCTCAACCTTCATTTTAGGTCATTGAAATGGACTATGGCATGGACGACAAGGACCCTATCCAACATGTTCATTTCTACAGCAAATCTGAGCTTGACGTGGCAAAGCCAATGCCCGAAGAAAAGGTAAGAACTAAATATTGATTAAAACATTTTTTTATCGCAATATTTCTTCTGTTTATTGGGTTAAATTATTTGTAAGGCAGCTTATGTCACCAAAACTCTCAAAGTAAAGCTGCTGTCCTTCTTTACAGGGATCCAGGATTCACACAACGTGCTTTTCTGAGCAGCTGATCAGGGTCTTCTGTAAGGAGATTGATGACGAGAGTGTGGAGGCTGCCAAAAAGCACTTTAAACAGTGCTACTATGATTTTCTAATCCTTTGATAATAGTTGAATCTTAAGATGTTAAAGGATACAATACATATCAACTAATTTGCTGTTGATTGAACATAAAACATCAAATATAAATTCAGACCAGTTGACTTGGCTAAAGTAAATAGAAAACAGTCAACAGTTGTTTTGGATTTTGAAAATTTCAGAAAAATCAGAGAATCGAAAAAAAGACCAAGTACTTTGAGTTTTCTGTTGTGTCAGTACACTGATTTCCACAAGTCTTATCCCCAGTACAGTTTATTTAACATGGTTGAACATGTGATCTACAATCTCAAACAGACTTTTTTTGAATGGGTGTGTATGTGGCTTCCAGTGTTTCTCTAGCCAGCTTCAGGTGGGGTCTCCCCAAGAAAATGTTAAGCACCAAACATTTCTTTTCCTGCATTCTCATCCTGATTTTGTCTCGTTTAAAGAAATGGAATAAAGATGTGCGCACGAGCGAGAGAGAGAGAGAGAGAGAGAGAGAGAGTAAAACCAGATATGCCTTGCTGATGGAAATGATTGATGGACCTCAGCCCCTTGTTTTGTCTCGCAGAATTTATGAAACCTTGCCAACAGTTTGCTAGTCCGTAGCCACGCTTTACAAGTCCATTGTACTGACTAGCAGACAGAATTTTTTTTTTTTTTAACTGAGCCTTCATGGGCTCTGTGCAACACAACAAAACTCCTCTTTAAAAGTTGATCTAGCATCTCAGTTATTACAACAGGTGAGCATGATGTGAAGGCCTGTTATCAAGATTCAGCAAAACCAAGAGAGAGCATCATCACATCGGCATACATGTACCTGGGTAGCCCGAGTATTGTCTGTGTGGGAAATACTGACGCGAGTGCAGCGTAAGTGCAGTTTGTGAAGGAAAAAGGAGCAAGAGAATCGGCATCACGCAGACATGACATCGCAACTATGTGAGAATCGAGACTGGGATTCTTTCTGACCTGAGGGATCATTTTTGTTTTGTTGTGCTTCAGTTTGCACATGTCTTGGCTCCAAAAGAAGTCACCAGCACAAAATGTTGGCCGGTATTTTGTCTTTGCTCTTTATACAACAGACCAAAACTCATTGTCCATATTAATATATGCAGTTTGTGGTTTTATGACATTGAAAGGCTGTTTTAATATATGAGCATTAGAATGGAGCAATGAGCAGGGAGGGAATGATTGCATTGAACTTCAGGACACTGTTGCCTTTTCTTTGCTTTTATATGATTTTGATCCCTTTTTTGATGCCAAATTAATGTTGGAGTCTTCAAACTTTTGTATTTTAGTACCAAAAGACAAAAACTTTGAAAATATTTTTTTTTACTTAAGATTTAAAAAAACTGAAAGTTCTCACCAGTGAGATGATGGATCTGCATGATGAGTGCATTGTTTTGCTTTAAAATAACTTGAATGAGAGATCGTTTGTTAAATAGAATCATTTCTGCCTCAATTTATCTCTCACTAGGTTTACTCTGCACTGCTTTCTTTAAAACAGATGTACTTGTGTGTCCTTATTAACATGCAGGCTGGAGAAGAATCCATATCTGGATGGATCTGAGGGTAATTAGAGCGATCTTCCTGCAGTTGACACCAAGGAACTTACCAAACAACATGAATAACACTGAATTATTATTGTTTATCGTTTGCTTGTCACTCTCTTACTCTTAGAGGCAAGAAAGATTCTGCAAAAAATTGTCTCTGGAGAGATCTACAAGTTTGTTGGTGAGAGAAAGCCAGAGGAGACCATCAAGGATTGGAAAGTAAGTCTGTGTGTTCTTGTGTTTCATTACATTTATTACACATGATCTAATGCACTGTTATCACAAAGCTGGATAATGTGCTCATTTTCAGTTAATAGAATAAGTACACATCACATTATTTACTGTCTCCAGCATTTTATCTTGCCCGTAATATTACATTTAACATGAACAGCAGCACTATTGAACAGTTCTCTTATTGAAATGTAATGTGAATTGGATAGCAGCTTGAAATGTCTTATAATACAAAATCCCTCTGTCAACTAATGCTGCATGATATTGGGGAAACTGCGTTTTCTTTTTATGTTCATACTATTACAATTTTTATTATTATCTGGGTCTTCAAGTTTATTTTCTTTTACAAATAAGAACCCCTTATACATTCAAAGCTACATTTAATTTGCATCAAGAGCCCTGTGACATTAACTTCTAAGCAAAGAACAGTTCATCTTCATACACTGCATGTGATCCCTTCACTCTCTCTCCCTCTACACTTTATGTGCTCATAGACTAACACACGTCCTGGGATATTACCATGGCACTTGTACACATAGCAAAATTAATGCTTAGATCATACCATGCAGCCCTACAGTCAAACGCATTTACACTAAGTTGGTGCAGTTTTTTGAGTGAATAAGAAATGAATTCCAAGTTTCTTACATTGTCAACTTAAAATGCAAAAAATCTTGAATCTATATCCTTTTCCACTGTTGTAATTTTTTTCTGATTCCTTGTCAAGAGCCAGATTTCTGGCTGGAAAGAAGGATTGGCTCAACCCCTCCCTGACGAGGAAGAAAACAACCTGAAACCAGAGGACTTTGAAATCCTGGTGAGTTTTCTTTTACTTTCTTTCATCTGACCTTTTTTTGTAAAATCTTCAGTTTTGCTGATTCTTTGATTTGTAAGATGTTGCAGAATTTGTTATGGCACACATTTTACTCTCGACCTTCTTTTTAGGTCATTAACAAGGACTACGGCATGAAAGACGAGAACAGGAAAAATGTCAGAACTAACTATTGATTAAAACAATTTTTTTATCACAATCATTCAATAGTTCTTCTGTCTGTTATTTGTAAGGAGGTTTATGTCTCCATAACTCTCAAAGTAAAGCTGCTGTCATTCTTTACAGGAATCCAGGATTCGCACATTGATCTTTTCTGAGCAGCTGATCAGGGTCTTCTGTAAGGAGATTGATGACGAGAGTGTGGAGGCTGCCAAAAAGCACTTTAAACAGTGGTACAATGATTTTCCAATCCTTAGATAATAGTTGAATCTTAAGATGTTAAAGGATACAATACATATCAACTAACTTGCTGTTGATTGAACATAAAACCAGTTGACTTGGCTAAAGTAAATAGAAAACAGTCCACATTGAGTACAGTTTATTTAATATGGTTGAACATGTGATCTACAATCTGCTGAGTGTGGAAAACATTAGCTGTGCTAGCATCCTCAGCCTTCGGTCTTCCTTTCAGGTTAACGTATGCTTACCTGTGCTGGTGAAGCTCTACTCTAATAGATTTGATACTTTAACTTAACAAAATACTGCCAAGCTGGGCAACACTCCAACATGTTATTGGTCCTTTGTCCTGGTTTGCATCCAGGTTAGACAGCAAGTCTAGACAGTCAGTCAGGTTTCTGTACTGAAACAATTTTACTGACCTGTATTGGAACCGTGCAGGACTCTGGTTTGGGGCCCTCAGGTTAAGAGAGGTAAGCAACACCAGCATGGGAGTGAAACCAAAAGATTAACCAACCCTCTGGTTTCTTCAAACTTTCACTCAGGAGCAAAAATCAGCTTTTAAATTTGAAAATTTGAAAGTAATAATGATTGATAATTATTGTGATAATTATATCGACTGATATGACATTTTGATAACATTTTTAGTTTTTTTAGCCTAGGCCTATAAGCTACGGGTCTTATTGTGAATAACGCGTATCCTTCATGAAAAGAAAAATGGACATGTTAAAAAAAAAATCCCTCTTCATACAATGTGTGCTGATTGAGACATGAGATAATCAGACCAATTTAGTTTTTTTAATCGAGCTGTAAACATGTTTATTTCTGCTGTAAAAATTGACTTTTCTGAATGGGTGTGTATGTGACATATTAATATATGCAGTTAGTGGTTTTATTACATTGAAAGGCTGTTTTAATATATGAGCATTAGAATGGAACAATGAGCAGTTAGGGAATGATTGCATAGTGAAACAAAACTTCAGGATTCTTCTTTTGCATTTATATGATTTTGATCCTTTTTTGATGCCAAATTAGCATTGGTGTCTTCAAACTTTTGTATTTTCCTACCAACGGACAAAAACTTTGAAATAATGTATTTTATTACTTGAGATTTAAAAAAACTGAAAGTTCTCACCAGTGAGATGATGGATCTGCATGATGAGTGCATTATTTTGCTTTAAAATAAATTGAATGAGAGATCGTTTGTCAAATAGAATCATTTCTGCCTCAGTTTATCTCTCACTAGGTTTACTCTGCACTGCTTTCTTTAAAACAGATGTACTTTTGTGTCCTTATTAACATGCAGGCTAGAGAAGAAGCCAAATCTGGTTGGACCTGAGGGTAATTAGAGCGATCCTCCTGAAGTTGACACCAAGGAACTTACCAAACAACATAAATAACACTGAATAATATTTGCATTCAGACCTAGCACTCATGTTTTTCTCGCTTTTATCATATACATGCTGTATCATTCTTTTAAATTGATTGTTTAAAAATCAGTTCCAACAACACACAACATGTTTTTATTCTGAGGACAAAGATAAATCATAATATATGATACCACTCTGTACAATTACGGGGCCTGCAGTCAATATGAAACAGTATCATTGGCCCATTTAATTCACTGTGTTACGCTTCTATCGACTCACACAGAAAACCCATTCAAAATTTGATACAGAAAAAATTGGATACTTTTTTTTAACATTAAGGAAAATATATATTAGTTATAAAGCCATATCTCAAAGATCACTGGATCTGGATCGCTTCTGGATTTGAATTTCTGATCTCTAAACTGATACATAGACACACATGACACTGGATACTTACACAGCTAGCAGCTGTATGGCTGTTGAATACCATTTAGGTAAAGAAAGCCATTATCAAACTGATAATCTGTATGTTTCAACAATCATTGTCTCAAACTGAATATATAAACTGTATGTTTCTGAATTGATTCAGCTTTTGGTCACATTTATGCTTCTTTGTAGGTTGTGAATTATTTTTGGTCGGGGAAAGATGTAAAGCACTCCCAACATGTGTAATGGAGTGAATATTTCACTTGTGGTTTTATTTAGGGATTTAGAATACTCAGTGGTGTTTTAGTTTTGATGTTAATCGTTTGAAGATTGAGGACATGACATTAGATTATTTGTCTTTGAGTGGTGTTTAATGAGAGATGATCATGAGTGATGTTTTGGTGACTGGTATTATCTTATATTATATTACTTTGTATCTGCAGCATTTATTATCACAATACAATTTTAACCTGTTTTAAAATGAGTCTTATTTTGGGCATGTTTTATAATGTGCTCTTCTTTTGAGTTTATGATTCTTACTTTAAAAACTGGAACTTGTGAAAACCTTTATTTGCATCTAAAAACTTGAAATTCGAATTAAACAATACATTTTTAAACGTATCCATCAACTACCTTTCAATGGATGATGAATGTGTTTAAATGTATGACAGACTTTAAGTGAAGCTATAATTGTTTGACGATTGGTTCTTACATAATGCATCTATGAGAACCTTTCAAGTGTATTCCTGTTGTGATGGGTTCATATCTGATAAAATCTGCATGTATTCAAAATAAACATCAGAGAAAATCCTGAGTTCAACATTGTGTAATCTATCAAACCATATGCATCTATATATATATATATATATGAGTATATACACTGTATATATCACCTGTGGTACAAATCTAATTGCAGTTCAAGTCCTTTACAAAGGAGCGGAAAATGACTGACAAAAGGTAGTTTGTAAAATATAACAGCAATAAAAATAAAATCAGCACAATGATTAATAATATAAATACTAAAAACCTAAATCAAACACTAAAATGTAAATTTATAAAGTAAGAGATGAATAATATTGATTAAAAATATAGTAAATTAAAAGCCTTAAAATGATTATTAGTCATATAGAAAAGCCAGACTGAATAAATGAGTTTTTTAAATTGTTTTTAAAAATCTCAATATTCTCTGATCCTCTGAAGTCTGTTCCAAAGTCTCAGAGCAGCAAACGCAGAAGGTTTTTGTTCTGCT